GAGAAACTAGATGCTGAAGGTGCAATGTCCTTCTTATGCACTAAGTAACGGTTAATAAGGGAACGGGGATCCAATAACGCAATTACGATAACAATTCGCCGAGGAAATGGGAGCATCGATCCGACGTCGATTATCAGCCTCGAAGGGATTACGCCGAGGCGTATGCGCGCGCTAATTTCAAACCGTCTTCTCTGTGCACCGTAAATCTCGTTAGTCTTCAATTATGGTCAAAGTTTCGAGATATGAAACTAGAATTAGGAGAAGGAGCTAGTCTCGCGTCTACCTGATGATAGATACCGCCTGTTTCGTAAACAAACTAATTGCAAGATTGATGAATGGACCCTGGCGATAACATGATTCAGATGCCTGGTCGAAACGCAATTTATGCCGCAGTCGTGCGTTGCATAACCACCCTTGTCAACAGCGAACGATCGAGACGGAAACGAAATTCAAATCATGTCGCGCAGTTTATACGAATAAAACGTTATTAGCAACGATTGCTGTCGTCGAAATTTTTGCTGTAACACGTCCAATAAACTCCAATAAAAAGTTTCTGGCGTAGATTCCAAAAGTTTTTTAATTTCTTCAACTAGTAGACCAGTAGAGCAATACTTGAAATAGCTTTAACCTCGATGCAAATTTGCAGCCGTCGTACAGTTTCTGAATCATTAAAAACTTTAAGATATTTGTCGGATTTATTGTCAGCATCGTTGCATAATTGACGAAGTATTTAAACGCTGGCCACCGACGTTGAATAAACAATTGTTCTCGAGTGGCTTCAAAAATAAAAATCCAATGGATTTCAAGTCTGTGAAGCAAGCAGACTTAGCTGATAGGCCCTGCGTGACCTATCCATTTGTTGAGGGATCGTTCGTTCAAGAACTGTCTGGCTGCTCGGCTAAAATGTGGTAGTGCGCCGTAATTCACGTACCACACGGGACGTAAAGCGTAAAGTGGAACTTCGTCCAATAATTCATTCGATCGACTGCTCAAGAAATTGTCGTAAGATTGGACTGTTCCGACCGGATTATCACCGGATTATTCCTGCTCAGAATTTGCACTGAACTATTGATGATGGAAGACTATAGATTTGTTTCAGCCCAATAGTGGTCTGACAATGACTTCCAGAGAAATTATTATATTTATTGAGCTACCTTCCAGCTCGATCGCAATGGCGCAAAACTTCAACGAGCATGATGACAACTAGCCCTCCCCCGCCGGCTTGCGTTCATCCTTCGACACTTAAAATCCCGGCGCCCACAGTAGTTGGAGGAACATCTGGGCACGCCATCGAGTTAAACTAAGACCGATGACGGAGCAAGTCAGAAAGTTCTCAACCGCACGAATCCTCTTCAGCCTTTCGACGAACCTATCCTTGCGAGACACCGGCTGGCGGGCGCGCCTCCTCTTCAGAAACGGATAGACAAGTTGAAACTCGACGGCAGGCCGGAAGCCACCGCGAATATTAATCCCGTTTCCTCCGTGGATGCCGCGCCAGGTTCGTCCGATGTCCCCGGTATAAATTCTCGATCCTCGCCTCCAAGCTGCGGGTATTATTGTAGTCACGTTGCGGGGGAGGGACTGCCAATAAAAAGGCGACGATTCGTGCTACGGGTAGCGGGCATAAAATCCAAGACTCTTGCGCTTAAACCTTGGCGGTTGCTCGTCTTCGTTGGGTCGTTCGGGCTTCATTTTTTCCTAGACTCCCAATCGTCCGTTTTAAAATCCATCGAAGATTAATATTTGAACACTTGCTAAGCAGGTTCAGGACAAAACGTTCTCCCCGTTGCTTCCTCTTCCATCTCGTTTCAGTATTCCGTAGCTACATCACCAGGATACTAACTACCCCGATAGCTATTTTATCCAACGCAAAGAGTTCTCGTGTCTTCTGTAAAGTGGCTACTAAATTGTTTCCCTCGGGATGTATCCTCCGGCACGACGAGCTATGCGTCACCGTAGAGATGTATTTCCGTTGAGCTTGACTAATTCGATTCGTACTGTGATCAATCTAACAACGTTAACGCAATCCTTAACAACACCTGATCCCCATCTACCAGCTAGTGGCTTTCTCGGCTCTAAATTAGCGAACGACTCGCTATCGATTAGCAAAGCCCTCGGAAAGCAAGGGATACACTGGCAAGGGAAGAATGGAGGGTCCATTATTCGTTGGTACAAAGGAAGTTCGCGGTGAATTCAGGTAGCGGTCGGGTACGACGGATATTTCAAGATTCGATGGAAGGACGAATAGGATGACAGGTGAACGTGGAAGGAAATACCGGGGACCGAGAAGTTGGTCGCGGCTGCCCGGGAAGACGGTATTAATCAAATGAAGCGGTTTCTGTTACAAGCCGGGCGAGGATGGGTCTGAGCTGACTGCCGGTACCCGGGGGATAATCAATCTGGAGAATTAGATCAGATAGCTGGCTGTACGTGCGCCAACTCCGTCTCCTTAGATTTATCCAGTCGCCAGGAAGCCTGATAAAGCGTCGCGCGCTTCCTCGATATCGAATAAATTCTGCGCTTTTGCTTATCAGACGGGCACAATCGTTCGCGGTTTTCCTCGAATTTATCGAGAAATATCCGTGACCGAAGTACTCGCGTCATCAGCGTTTCCAGACGATTCGAACGTCGGGACGAAACTCGCGTTTTGTGGAAATTACACGCCAGCGGGTAGCGCGATTTAAACTAGACGCGTTGAAACTAGCGTTTATGATCTCTCGAAATTTTCGTTTCTCCGGAAACGAGAAATCGGAGCGGAATTTTCGTACATTTTTATTCTAAGTAAATTCCATAATTTTTACCAATAACGCTTTATTTAATCAATAACATAATTTTCAAGGTTTTTCCGTTCAGATAAATTTGTAATTACCCAAATTCGATTTAAGTCCTTAACTTGGTTTTGAGTTACAAGGCTCGCATGCGGTCGACCATTGTCCTGATGGAACAATACGACTACCTTTTCCATCGACGAAATACAGAGGATTTATTGTTAAGCATTGTTGACGATAAACTTCCAGTACCATAAACTGGAATTTTTAGAAAGCCGTGCACATGCGAACCGTCCTAAATTAAAACAAAGACTGAACGTATGTACGGTTCGCGCGAAGGTTTGACAGATGGCGCACCGTTGCAACCGAAATGTATGATGGGAGTAGCTCGTCAATGACCTCGAGTGGTCCATTGATTATACCCGCACCTAAATCACCAGTATACTAATTACTCGCAACTTTCTAAACAGATGTGAAAAAGGCATAGAATGAATCTGTGTTCGCAAACTTCCCGAAATAAAATTTTCCACGGTCATCGTCCCCGACGTATAACCTTGTTATCTCGGCGAGGATCGCGAAAAGCATTTTTAAATTGAAATTTCGAGCCGACGATTTCGGCACGGCGAAAAGAAGAACGTTGCGCGTCCCACGGCCGCGGTGTATTACGAGAACGAATAATAATAAAAAATAATGTTCCTTCGCTCCCTTCAGTGGTGTCTTATTTTCGCACGACCTCTTTTGAGCGTGACATACGAGGATAGTTTGCCGCGTCGTTTGCAAAACTGCGCCCTGTTTTCATCTCCACCGTGGTACGTACGCCACGAAAATGGAAAAATTCACGAAGATCCCGGATATACGAGACTCGGGTTACTTTCTCTCTCTCTCTCTCTCTCTCTCTCGGGCTGGAGGACGAATCTTTCGCAGCGTGAATTTGCGTACGTAACTGCGCAAAACTAGATCCCGCGGGTGTCATTACTGGCTTAAAAGAGAAAACGCTTGCAGCGGGAAGCTGGTCCCCGTGCTATGCTTCTTATTCGTATATGAGCGGAAAAAACACCGCGTGCGTCAGAAAAATACTTCAACCGAGCATAAAATCGGATCGCAAAAGAAATCTCGTCCGAGGCAGGCACTTTTGAAGTACTCTCGCGATTAATTTCATCTTCTTTGTACGAAGACCGTACGCTCTTTAATAATTTGCACCGACTTCAAGATGAAAATTAATTTCTCAAAAAGCAGTGCTACATACTTCTAATAACTCTCCATTTCGAGACCAAATTTTTACCCAGAACTCGAGAGCCTGAATCATCCACCTTCGTTATTTATATTTATTCTTATTGACTTCTGCTCGAGATAAAAATTAATGATGTATCTGTTATTTATTAGATCCTATGTATTGTTTTTATTACATTATTTCCTGAAGAGAACTACTAAACTAGCCCAAACGTAAAACAGATACACGCTTTCGAGATAAAAAATCGATATAGCGAATTCGCTTGAAAGCAGGGTAAAATCAAGCTGAGTTCAACAAGAACACACACACACACACAAACAGTAGTAAGAATGATTTCATTGATTGATTCCAGTGTAAAAATTGCTACTTGAAAGAAGTCACTACTGTAAATCGATCGGATAGAATTATTTTAGACATTTGCCGTGAAATTGGCGCATGCAAAGCGAAAACACCAATCGTACGAAGATGACAAGCGTTCTCGTTTCGTGACCAGACTCATTCCAAGTGCATTTCGCCCAATTCACAATATCCGAAGTCGGTCAATTTCAAAGGGAATTAGGGACTCGTGTTTCGCGCAGCCCACGATTTTGCATGCAGTCGTGGTATTTTCTAGGCCAAACGATTCGATTGTCAGATAGGCTCGCAAATAGTAGCCACGTATGCAAAGAACAGAAAAGCATAATGTTCAGAGCTTTCTTTTCTTCCTTTCACTCGTGTGGTTATACACAATAAATTCGATAAAAAAAATAATAGGGTATTATATGGTTCTTCTCAAATATAATACAATCTTGAAAAACAAGTATAAGGCAAAACTAATGCCAAAAGAAAGAGCATCGAAAACTTGCAAAATTATAAAAAAGATAGAAAAGTATAACCATCGTAAAGAATCTATAAGATCACGACTGGTGCATGGAAGTCACTGTAAAATTGTATTGCAACTTCATTTATTTGATTATAAATACAATCGTAGTTCGTACATTCGCTTGCGTCCTTCCCAACTACCACATCTAAAAAATTCTGTACTACCATTCAATATCTTTTCACTCGTGAATTCTACGTCAGAGGCAATTTCGAAATTCATAGTCCTCGTGGGAACGAGGTCTCTTATTGTCTATGCAAGCATCTCGGAGCATGGAAAGGAAAATGCAAAGTACACCAGGAGGGAAACCAGAGAGGACACGAATGGTACGTTAACTGGCCAATTACATGGTACTTATATCTGTTTTAATAATTCGCTAATGACATAATTAGCGCCATACAATGTGCGAATATTATGCGGGCTTTCTCACCTTGGCGCGGCTCGCAATGTCTGGTAAAATGAAATAATGGAGTCCTAAACGATACATATATTAATTGACTGTGCTGCGGGTACACTGTGAACTGGCGTAAACGAGCAGGATTGCGGGACGATCTTTGCAACGTGAGGATTATCTTTCTATTTTATTTTTACGATAAATAAAATACTGAAGTAAATATACACTATAAAATAAATTTTTTTACGCTGCGCGCCCCTTAGCAGGATACGTTCGATTCCTGAAAGCAACTTATATTACAAAATTTGCATTCGATGCAAGGCGCTAGAATTCTCGTTAAACAGGACGTTTGGTATTTTGATTACACGTTAGCCTATCGCTAACGTCACCTCGATTACATCTAAGATACATAAATACAGTTAACCACTAACGTATTGCATAGTGGGGTAATAATTACACCTTATCTGTATATACGTATATAAATACGATCCGTTGCGGATCGAGGTAAAATAACGCTCGTCAAAGGGGAATACTATTTACCAAAAAATACACATTCTCATATCGATACGAAGATTGGTTAGTTTGATTTTTAGAAAACTCACGTGATGTTTGAGATTTTTTTTTGTAGGAAGTGTCTGTAATTACAATTTTTTATTGTAACGTACGCCGTGCTATATATAGCATCGTTCCGCACCGTTGTAACGACCAACCCGGTCGATATTGACCTTAACGTTACGCTTATCAATATACTAAATAAGATATTAAAACCAGGGATTCGGTTGCGTCCCTTAATTTTGCAGTCTTTCTGTGAACAAAGATCATTCACAATTTTGATACATTTAAATGCAGTGTCGTGAAGACATATTAAACGCAGGGCTCTACATAATTTCCGGGGAACAAACCCGTTATACCGTCCATGACCCCCTCCCACCACCCATCATCATTCTTTTTCAATACATAAATTACAGAACTTTCCTGGAAGCTCAATTCATCTTCCTTGTCAGCGTAATAATCGTAAATTGCAACCACTAAAAGGGTAATACTTCATTATAGTTCGTTCCTGTTACGAAAATAATCGTAACACTTAACGACATTTCGACGTACCTTTCTCGATGTAGTTCTTTGGTACCCAACCGGGCAAATCCTCCTCGTCCGGCACGATGGGCATGATAGCCCCGCTGGACTGCATGGGCCTACCGAATTGCGGATGCTCTTCCTGTTCGGGTGGGGGCGGTGGTGGCAATGGCGGGCTACTCGCGCCACTACTTCGACTGACTTGATGCGACAATCTGTGTGGTAGAGTGTGATGACCACCATACTCCGCCATATCACCAGTTATACCAACCAGAGGCGATGGTGGTGCTGAGAACAGACATCGAACACCTCGTGTAATTTAATTCCTGACTCTGGCATATGAGGGAGAGGGGCAATATAATGTTTATTGCTGAAAATACGATAACTGAACGATTCAGATCTTCTATAAGGTGCATCTTATAGATTACATTAGTTCTCGATTAGTGCCTAGAATTGCGATCAATCAAAACTGGTAAGAACTTTTCTGGATACCTAATATCGAAGTATACCTATCCTAAAACTATTATTTTCCGCGATATTTTGTCACTAAGGTGTTAGATTCTCCTGGTTACATCTTCAAATACACATATAATATAAATACATATAGAACAGTATGATTGGAGAGAATGTGGAAAGGAAGAAGTGGGAAAGGAAATGAACTAGAAATAAGTCATGGCAATGTAATATACCAAAGATTGTAATCTGTAAAGATACAAATAAACATATCTATCTATAAATACATATTCTTCCTAATGACCACCTCAAGACCATGCAACTTTCATATATAACAATTCTTCGTACAATACGTAATTTTCAACCTGTTCAAGTTGAGCATGTTAGGTAAATCATCCTGTGTAAGATTTAATAAGACTGATCGATTACTTACGAGGCATGCTGTTGTGTTGTTCCAAAATATACCCTGCAGTCACGCTAGGTGGTGCAGGCGGCGGTGTTTGAGGATGACTTTGAAGCGGGTGAACTGTTCCTACTTGGGGCGGTGAGGTATGTTGAGTTATAGTGTTTGGGTGAGCGCTATGATTCGTATTTAGAGTTGCATGAGACGTGGTGTGAGCGTGTAAGGGTAAGGTACTATAACCGGGTCCGCGTTCTCTTCTAGGATGACCCAATGGATAATTGGGGGCATAATGACTAGGAACTTGAGGCGGAGCAACTGCAGGTGGTGTCCTGTATTCTCGTGATCCTTTGCTCAATGTTCCTGCACAAAACATAACAACCTTGTGTTAGATAGATACAATAACAAAAAGTATAGTCCATTTTGTACTTACCTGTTCTCACTGTTTGGGGAGGAGTAGGTGGTTTGGTTGTAGGAGCAGGTCCTACCATAGCAGCACCTAATCCAGAACCAGTGGAGGCTGCACCTAAACTTTGAACACTACCCTGACTACCACCACGTTGTTTACTCCTAGGAGTACCACTGCTGCGTACTCCATGTCCAATATCATCCAAAACTGTGTAATCTATACTTTTTCTCACATACTTAATCGGTTTTTCAGGATTTGCTGGTGCAATAATTTTATACTGGCGTACTGTAATCTTATTGGAGGTTAAAACTCCTATTTCTCTTCTAGCTACTTTCTCTTTGTGTATCATCACTGTTTGGGCAATATGGTTCATTTGGCTTTCCATTTCTGCCAACTGGGATGTTTGCAAATCCAGCAATTGTAAAAAATTATAGGCAAGAGTATTTATTTGGTAGGCAACGCTGGCCAATGACTGTGTTGTAAAGTTCTTTGTCTCTTCCAAGGCTATTCTTTTATTTTCTGCTTGAAAGTAATTTGCCTCGCAATAATCAGCTACCCGCTCAAGATTTATATGATTGTCTGCAAGATTGCTTCTCCCTTCAGGGATTTCCTGACCAAGAAATGCAGCTAGCTCTGCCATGACTTCTGAATCACTGCCTACTCCCGATGATACACAATAAGAACCAGATCCTTGGGAAAACCAGAGCAACAAGTGATCAGATTCACAAGAACATGTTTTAGGTTAAGGGTTCCCAACTTGTTTACTAGTAACTCTACAGTGATCGGATATTAAATGTAGTGTTAAAAAGAGGTCAATGTTGAGAACCCCCAAATGAAATGATTTCTTGGAGCGGATTCTAAAATCATCGTGCTTAAAACGATATTATTCGCAACGTTTCTATCGGCGATACGAAACACAAAGTGAAATCGGATAAATAATATACGAACAATCGTGAACCTCAAACATTTGTTCGATTTCGAAGGAAATGAGGTTATGTAACTTTAACGAAAGTTCGTACGCAGTACTCCGATTAATGTCGACAAAACTTAATGCGTCTCTTTATCAAATTTATCTCGCTTAAATTACGGAAATCCAAAACTGACAATTGTAAAAACCGTTTGAAGGGCGGTGTCTTGCATGCAGGAAGCAAGATGGAGTAAACTCGAACGACCGACTTTAATATCATCTGATCAAGAATAAAACACCGAATGACACAATAAATGATATGAAAAAATAGAAAATGAACTAACGGTACTCAGCCATATCGTAACTACCAGCTACTACACCTTCATTTATTCATAATTACCAAGGCTCTCGGTATTTGACGGAAAGCAAACAAGCACGGTTTACGTAAACGCGACACGATGCACAACATGAATGTGCAAAATATGCGCGGATATCACTACTGGACGGTATTCATTGGAATTTCCACGCTATCACGACATAAACGTTCCGAAACTCCATTAAACTCGAAGCACGACAACGACAGCTGTACACCCGTCCAAAGAACAGACAAAGACATGTTAGTACGACGCAAATACAAGAAAAAACGGCCACGCGAAAAAGACAGAAAACTAATTCGCGACAACAGCTCGTGCATACGACACAACGATTAATGCCGCACGAGGGGAAAATCACTAAGCCCAGATACCTTTTCCCCTCCACAATATGTCGACAGTTCTTCAAGGCGCATTTTAAAACACACTAAATTGTATAATAAAATGAAAAAATATTTCCTGTAGTATTGTATATTTATTAAAAACGCTTGTTAGAAAGTTTTCCGCAGTCGTTAGCAGTAATATAACAAGTAAAACAACATACCAAGAAGCTCGAAACTAGGAACGAAGAGTAAAAGTTGTCGAGGCTGGCGGCCATAGTGATTTTCTCCTCCATTTGCACGAATCATATACCGGGTGAACAACTTCGAAAAGATGACATGTACTTCGAGACCTCGAGAGGATCGTATCGATTACCATTTCGATGCATCGAACGATATTACAAAATACAACAATTACATTGTAAATTTGCACGACACTAGACGCGTGTAGTAGAACTTTGGCATTGTTGTTGCACCGTACACGTTCGATCTTCGATGCTCTGTTAAATCGGGAACTCTGTCGAGTGGTCACATGAAGCGCGTACATTGGCGTACAACCGTCGATACATTCCGTTGTTTGTCGGAAGGCTCAGAACGTTCGAAGGAGTGAGGTTCGTGCAAAGGCTTGACGATCGTTATTCCTTCCCGATCGGGAGCGTTGTATTCGATCAATGTGCTATTGCTCAGTACGATTCAGATAACGACAGTTACGGTGTGCACGCGTGAAATCAAGGAATTGTCGCGAAAACCTTGATTCGTGAGTCGGGCGATCGTTATTTCTCGCTAAGACTCTCTTTTGCGAGCGGGTCGCAAAAATGAACAAGCTTCTAAGAGAGCTCGAGGCTTTGAAAATCACAAATGACATTTCCGCAGGCGGTTTATGGTCGGCATGTATCGATCTGATTCAGAAGACTTACGCTCCCGAAAAGACGGTCGGTGCTTGCCGACCGTGCGAGGAGAAAGACTTCAGAGAATACAGACAAATAGTAGATAGAAATTTGCGAAACATCAGCAGATCGTTTCAGCAAATCGTTTACAGTCGCAACCAAGGGAACGCGCAAATAGATTTGAACGCATCAGCGGTCAAGACATTTGTCGTTAACTTGTTGTTGCTCATTGGTGAACATCATGAAAAGAATATTTGGAACACAGCAGAGTCTGTGTCCATCTCCAGAGAGTTAGTTGATGGAGTTTTAGAGCTGTACAGGTGTCAAAACGTGTCTCAAGTTTTAACAGAGCAAGACAATTTCACCACAGTATTGTTAACATTAAGACCAAAACTACTGAAAGATACTTGGAAATCTTATCCAGCGGCTGTAGCATGTTACAAATGGCTTTTGTATCAAATTGAGGTTTGTGGAATTAGTTGAAGGATATAAAATCAACTTTCCATTTATGTTTGTACTATGTCCCTTAGAAACCTGGTTTATACAACCATATCTGCGATGTTCTTCCAACGGCTTTAATAATCGTTGATGACTATGTGCCAGAAAATATTGTGATAGGTCTTGAATGTTTACATCAAATTGTTCAACATTCCCATTTGGTAAAAGTCAATGTTATGTGAGCTAATTGTAATGCTTACTTGGAAGTTAGGTCATTCACTCGTGTGATTTTTTACTTTTAGAAGAAGGGATTAATAGATACTGGATATGCCAAAGTAATATTTCATGCTTTAGAGCGTTTAACGCATCAGAGAGAAGCCAAATATGTTACATTGGTATATTTGTGTATGACAAGTTTATTAGCTACTATCGAACACTGGGACAATACGTTAAATGTGTTTGAAGTAAGGCTCTTCAAGGTCAACAGATTTATCCATCTAAATATAAATCTCTTAATCTTATCTATTATTACAGTGGACACAGCGTGATGATGTTCTAGCTGTCCTATTAGATAATATGGAATTTGAGCAAAATGTGGAGTTAAGACGTGTTTACATGATGAGTTTGTCTCAACTGTTAACTAACATTGGTTCTGCCAAATGGTGTGTAAGATTAACAAGAATACTTTCTGAATATTGTGAACATCATACAGACCTCAGAACATTAAAAGCAACATTAGAGGTAGGCGTTTTCGCATATAATTCCAATTGCTTATGTTAGACCTGTATATAAATCTAATATAATTCTTGTAGACTGCCAAGACCTTCCTTCTGATGTTTCACTTACGATTGGCAGCTCATTGTGTACCTCTGTACATTGCATTCTCAAAATTGCATTTTGATCTAACAGAAACACCAGTATTTGATAAAGAAATAATGCAAAATTTGGAGGACTGCATTTGTTTATTATATAAACCATCTCAGAAAGTAGGTTCTGCCGTTATAAATGACGATCGGATGCAATCAGTGATTAAAAATAGTTTGCAAGTAGTATGCTTAGGTGATACCAAATATTTCGAGTGAATGAACTTATACAAGCCTGTCCTAGAATCGAATCTAACGAATTATGGGCCGCATTATTTAAAAAAAAAGAAAACATTATTTTTTGTAGTTTCTTAGGGTATAACACAATAAAATATAACGAATAGTACTTAGACGCCTTATTTGTGATTTAAAAAGTAAATTGTAGTAAATTTGTATTGTAAAATAAAGATTTTTGTTAGAATATGTTTTTGTCAAAAATACCCATATCCAACTGTTCCCGTTTCATATTTCGTAAATATTTTCCCTCGAATCACAAGTGACTACAATCAGCGGAAATAACCATCGAGTTATTTCGGCAAAGTTTATATTTTGATTGCATATCACAACAATGTTTAATCGTTTTTTATTATTAAATTCAATATCCTATGTTTCATTTTATTGTATTTGCTAGAAATGTGTGTAAATAACTATAAGAAACGATAGTGAACGCGATGCCAATTATCTAAACTAAAGAAAAAAAATTTGAAAAAATAAAAAGTAGAAACAACTTTATTATGCTCTTTGTACTAGAAGATAAAAGCAATTATTCAACTACATGTACTGGCAATATTTGATATAATCTTTTACGCTCAGCCTCTGTAAGATATACATATGTATATTCTGCTGGACCGCGTAGAATACGAGAAGTTGCGTTAAGAATCATTCTGTGTTCAACACTGACGACAGAATGTCGCCCTTGCTAGTGGTAATATTACTAGTTATCATAGGATACAAGCTTTATCAATCCATTGGTACTGTACCACCAAACACACCACCGTGTAAGTTTCATTCACAATATGAATAATACAGAATATCGCATTCACCGTTCACAATTATTTAATATTTCGTTGATAAATTGTCGACAGTATCTTTAAACATTTTTTGCAACAACCTTCACACCTTTGTCGTGCAATTCTTTTCTCTTCTTTCTGGTCTTTTGTTTACTACAATTCCAATATTTTTAAAAATTTCTGTGACTCGTTTCTGATAGGTCTTCCGCGACTACCTGTTGTCGGATCTTATTGGCATCTACTATGGGGTAATTACCAATATCCTCACGTCACCGTTCGCTATTATGTAGACAAGTTACACTCCAAAGTTGTGGCCTGTTATTTTGGTCCCATATATGCCGTTATCGCGAACGATTACCAAAATATCAAAGAAGTGTTCCAGAAGGATGATTTTGATGGGAGACCTAGCGACCTCCACATTGCAAAGGCAAGGGCTTTCGGAAAGAAATTGGGTACTTTCTTGTCAAGAAAACTTAACATTCTAGCAATGATATAAGCAACGTCATATGTTTCGCGTGAAATTTCAGGAATCTTCTTCATCGAGGAACTGTTTTGGAAAGAACAAAGGAGGTTCGCCCTTCGACACATGAGGGATTTCGGATTCGGTAGAAGGCATGTTAAATACGAGGAACACATGATGGAAGAAGTTACTTTGCTTATCGATATGTTGAAAAACGGTCCAATTAACGACGAAGAAAAGGTATTTTTCAAAAACTACTGACCCAAATTTTGTATCAGAAAGGCTGATCAGCGAACGATTCATAATTTCAACGTGTCTTCTAGATATATTTGAAAAAGGGCTACGCACTTTTCCCAGATGTTCTGTACCCATATTCCGGAAACAGTATATGGGATATAATGTTCGGTAGCAGATTTGATCGTACAGAACACAGTAAGCTGAGATATTTTTGCCAATCTGCTATGTTGTTCCAAAGGTCCGCCGATACCACAGGCGGCATAATTTTCCAAAGGGAAATTTACAAGCACTTTGGAAATTTATTCGGTTATACGAACATTATGAAAGGAAACTACCGTATGGTAGACTTCATCAAGGTACACACACCCGCCACTTAAAAATTAAAAGTATCCATCAATACACGTGTTCTGTTAAAAATTTGATTCTCTTGTATTAAAGAAACATTTCATAGGCACGACAAAAATAAATATTAAATAAGTCTTCTGAGGACCGTTTTATCACGGTCACCGTTTTATCATTTATATTTTTTTATTGTAATTGATTTCATCGGAGGTCAAATGACAGACTAATATTTATAAAAAATGTAACGACGTTTCGCTCAATTTGCAGTGATATCAATGCGCCATTTGACCCCTGGTAGTAATCAGTACAACTGCCGCAAAAAGTCTCAAATACCTTATTTATTAAAGTAATAGCTGTGCCAAAAAACTTTCATTTTCTTCAAGAAATTCTGGTAATTCCTGTTGCAGGAATATTTGGGCAAACACGAAAACTCGGATTGTCAGGATAACGATAAGGGAATGATAGATAGATACATTAGAGAAATGAAGAAACAGAGTACAACGTCTACTTTCTCGAAAAAGCAGCTGATTATGACTCTAGTGGACGTGATGTTTCCAGCATTGTCCGCGTTGCCAAGTACTCTTCTTCACGGTATTAAATTAGTCATGCATCATCCGGAAGTATTGAAGAAGTTGCAGGGGGAAATAGACTCGGTGGTTGGGACCGGAAGATACGTTACGTGGGAAGACAGAAACAAGTATGTTACAAAATTTTCAACAACGACTAAACGTTACAAATTTTGCTTGTCTCTGTTACAGTTTACCGTACACAGAAGCAACGATACGCGAGGTTCTCAGGTACGAAACGTTGACACCATTTAGCGTCCTACACAAAGCATTAAGGGATAGTACTCTCGGCGGCTACAGTATCCCACAGGGCACAATAGTTGTCGCGAATTTGGCAGGTATGAACACCGATCCCGATTTGTGGGGCGACCCGCAAAATTTCAGACCTGAAAGATTCCTCGACGACGACGGCAATTTGGGCAAGGATCTGTCGTTTCCTTTTGGCTTAGGTAAGCGTGAAACTTATAAATCATTTATCTACATAAATAAAATTATACCTTCCTAACATCTATCGTTTCCTTTCTTTTACATTTTGATGCTTAAATATTAACGAATCATGATGTCCGCCTTAAACCACTATTAAGCGTTATATTGCCATGTCACTGTGATAACACTAATTGTAACACAATTATGTTACAGTATTGTACTGATAGCTGTGAAAACAGTTTTAACGTTTGTTTTTCAAACAATGATTGATAGCGATGTAACGTCAATCGGCTATAAATAACGCCTCGGCAAGCTTGAGAAATACAAATTGAAAGCAACTGAAAATCTTTCAGGCCATCGCGTGTGCGCGGGGGAGACTTTTGCAAGATTCAATCTGTTCGGATCGTTTGCCGCGCTGATGCAAAACTTCAACTTTTCGTTCGTGGAAGGTCAACCGACCGAGCTGAACGATAAACTACCCGGTTTGATTGTATCGCCGAAAGAAACGTGGATTCGAGTGGAGTCGCGTTGTTAATTGAAACATAAGCTCTATGTATGGACTCCATTGGGACCAAACAAGAAAATTGCTATGTTTACTATAATTTTTATTTGTTATATACGAAATGCTAGATGTAACACCTAAGAAATGGATATTTATGTCCTCTTTGGTCGTATAATCGATATTCAATATTACATAAACTCTGTACTTCTGTTAAGATAAAGCAAAAAGAAACCTTTTATTATTAATGCCAACATTTCTGTGACTTTTTCGTGAATACAATAAACAAAAACAAAACCACAAATACATGTAAGCTACCAGAAATAAAGGTAAGGCATTATACTGAATTCATGTGCTATAAATTTATTTTATAATTTCCGATAGTCAGAGAGAAACGTTACATTGCATTGGACTAAATACAGGTAACATATAAATGTTTTTAGAAGAATTGCCTACAAACAAGTATCATTACTTACACTACCTACTAATCTGAGAAGTCGTCAACTTTCTAGAATATTCAGTGTCTGTGAAATAAAAGTGTTATGTACAAATATTACCATGATGGAGAAGATGGGGAAGATGCGCTTACTCTTATGTGCAGTAAATATTAAAAACTTACTTAAGTATATACATTTTACCGTTAATCTTCCCAAATTTCCCGTGTCCTCTTTTTTTTTTTTTTTTTTTTTTTTGTTTCGTTTATACAGAGCGTTTATAGATTTTTGTCCAATATTCAGTGCCATTTAAAATAATTCAATATTCAATCATGATTACTATCTGACTACAACCTTAATAATGTTTAATTTAAAGTACATAATACACTAACACACATTAAAGTACAAAGTACACAATATTTAAATCAAATTATTTCAAAAATAAAAAAATTGCCTGAGTATTCTTAAATTGTTCAGAAAATATACTAGACAACTAAACTTACAGTATTCTTAACAGTATACAGATGGAAAAGTAATATTAATAACTTTACTTACACTTTGACTACGTATTAATATACGCTATAAATAACTTACCCCTCGAAATTCTAATTGAAATTGAATTACATGGTGTCTATATCATTGTTGTGCTGACAAAAATCATTAACTAGTAGCTGTGATAAAAATAAATTTCAAATACGATTATGTTACGCAAATGAAATTTCATTATTTTATTACAGTGTATCGTAACATTTATATAAAAATTACTTTGAAATTTCGTTAATTGTGTTTTATGTAGAGGTATGCGGATAGCCCGAAACTCGTGTTTGGGCCAGAAAACAACGAATTGTGGAAAAATTCGTTGCAATTTGGTCCGAAATGTATCGGGCTCTGTAATATATGTATACTATTTTTATATGGAAAAGTAATCAATATTCGTATAACTCATCACATTTTTAATAAACATTTATGTACATTTATAACAATTTAAATGAAGGAATGCATAAGAAAAAGTTGTAGTTTCATTGTTACTTCTAAAAAAGCATCAGAAACTTACAACATTTTAGTGTTATTTAATTAACAAATTTAATGAATTTCGGCAAAACAACAACGATATTACTTAAAGAAATTAAGAGTTTTATACATTTAATTTTGCCAGTAATGACAAAACATTGTCTTTTAATACAATACAAAAGTATTGGAGCTTTGCATACACACCTTATTATTTGCTTATTACTATTGTAAATATACAGACATCTTCTCAAAATTGTTACTTTATTGACCTTTTGCGTACAGAAGGTTCTTCGAGCGGTATGAAATCAACAGAGGTAATATCACATTGTACAGTAGTGTCGGCTTTCATGTCCACGAATCTATTCGATTAAATGATCACGAGTTATCCCCGCCATTTCTTAGAAATTTTTCATGCTTTTATTATGTAATTATCATAATTGAGTTACTGAGATTTTTACAATTAAAATAATACCAAACTATATTTATATTAATGTAACGCTAAGCGGATGACATAGTTGACTAAATAACTAGCAAATGGGAAGGATTCTAAATAAAAGACAAGTAAGACGGAATAGAAATATAACAAACGTTTTACGAAAGCCAATTGGTCAAAACTTGCAGAAAGTTTACACTTTCGAACATGTCCACGTCCGGCTCCGACCGTTGAACATTTAAGTGGACACCACTGTACATAGCTCCACATTTGTATTTGAATTATCTTACATTACTTTACAATGTATCTTTTTTTTATAGACGTTCAACAGCAGTTTATTTCATACAACATTCTATATGAAATACACTTATTCCCTGTGTACCAAAACGTACAATGCCAAACCTAATAAGACCATGTATTTTAATTTAGGATACTCGTTCATATATATAGTAACCATTCCTACATATGGTAAGAAACCCCTTGCTTTACCAACAACGTCTTTATGCGTCAACCACAACTGACCTGCCGCATATAAACCTCTATCATCAACAGAATTATTATCACCCTTTGTTAAAAATTTAACAGTATTGTTTTGATCACCCCTAGAATGGTTTAATTTTTATTTAACAATATAACTTACATCTATATTACCTACATCTATACAATGAATACTTACTTTTCATGTAATTTAAGTACTCTGTGTACAATTGGAATATCCCTACCCAAAACTTTAAAGACAACAATTTCTCCTACTCTGACTGGTTCATCTTGGTAATTGGTTAAAAATAATAAATCCCCCCTGTGAAATGCTGGCTCCATACTGCCACTATAACATTGAGGTATAACTCCATAAGAATATTATGCTAAAATTATAACTTATGTGTAAAGTATCCCTAATACTTCTCCAATCTATTGAATAATTCATTCTATACCAAAAACATTAAATATATCCATGGTATATGTAACATTTTTGGTTCAAAATGAATTCCAAAATGTTTAGGAGAACTCTACTTGATACTCCTTAAGTATTTTATACCCATATACATGCAATTATACTAATTTCTACTTTCCTCCTGTAAAACAAATAACTTTTCGAATATCTTTCAAATTTAACTATAAACATACAGATAAAAAATATTTCAGGAAGTGATTCTATAGACCAGATAAAATTAATGATAGAAACAATGTTTAAACCAATATGATAAAAAGTATATCTAATCGGGCACAAGTGAATGATCAAGGACCAGATAACCAGGAGTCTATTGTTATTCAAAGTATATACAAAATTTGTGAACTTATAAGAATAAGCATCTGATACTGACGAAACAAAAAATCACTAACTGCTTCGAAAGAGTTAATTGATGGACCTAAATCAATTTGATATTCTTTGCTCGGTTTAGTTAGCCAGTATTTTGAGCATAGACATTTTTGAAATACTTTTCAACACTACATATGTAATCCATTTTTAACAGACTTTACATTCTGTTTTTGCAAACGCACCTTGTGATACAAGAGAATACAAGACAATACATAATATTTAACAAAAAAAATTGATGACGTTACTTTTTCAAAAAGCGAATTTATTCGCGCGAAAAACGCGTCCGAAATTGTTAGGTTAAGTTATTCAAATACCTGAGAACCACCACAATCGGACTTTCGCTGCCTGTTACAACCATCAGTCCTTTCCACATCATCAAGGCTGATGAAACGATCATACCAAAACTCAACACCTGATACAGCACCTTTAAAGAAAAGATCGAAAATTGTTATCAAAGGAACCACATTTCATCGACCATATGTGTCTGCCAACGAAAACCTACAAATTCCAAAGTCAAATAATTAATTTACCTGCCGTTTATTCATCCGTCGTACATCGTCAAACGTAGAGTGCACCATGGTCACAATCGTTTACTACGAAAATTATGATAATCAATTAAACAAAACAGTTTTCCGCCTTCGTTTTACTATACACAGCCGGCAACAACCAGTCAGTTGTATTACCATACCACGTCACGTAAACAATGAATAAGGAATGATGGAACAGGTGAAACACAAGGAACGCTCGAACGGTCCGAATTTTAGTAGGAACGATGAAACTGGCATTCGCGCTCAAAGTCACAGTTCGCGTAATTGTTTCACACGTTAAAACTGCTTTATTTTAAACATTCATGATCAAATAACATCTCGAACGATTCATTTCAGTTTAGAATTACCGGTTCAATCGTAGTGTCACGAGATCTTTACCGTATTCGCGTAACTTTTCAAAATTTTCGAACTTCATATTCTGGTTAGAATTTTGCCCATCTCGCATATTTAAAATAGCTTGTGCAGCATTGTGATGCAAGTGTGTGATTTGTACAAAATTGTGATGTCCTTTGCAGTAAAGATTTACAACGCAACTTTAACGATGTCGACATCTTGGACAACATCTAGCATTAAAAAGGTATATGTACTTTCATTAGATATTGGTAACGGTCAATCGACAAAACGGGATTCAAAATTTGCATGTGAATTTTATAAAAATTTTAATCTTAATCGAATAAGTTCATACTAAGAGCATTGCAAAAGTTCGGTGTACAAATAGAAAGAATAATTAAAACTATGCGTAGTATCTGTCTTTTTTCATAAAGTCTTCGGATTTGAATCTGGCAACGAATATTTCGGGCGCCATATTGACTTCCGCATCGATCTGTTGAAATTTGTATCGGTGGTCTGTGCCATCTTTGTTAAAGATGATACTCTTTTGCGCGTTGGCGGCGAAATCGGAAATTTTAATTGTATCGCCGTGATTTTCTTCGTCAGTGCACCATTGAGATGCCATTTCCTTGAGCGGTTGAAGGTGACTCGCGTTTTGCTGTATCTTTTCCAATTCCTCGTTGCAAAGTCGTTCCACCTCGATTAATTTCTGTTTGTAAGCGTTCGCAATCACTTTCCAACGAGCATTATAACGTTTCTCTGCCTGGTTGAACGAGTACTCGTCTTGATATTTGGCTAGCTTCTTCTCGTACTCGAGTATCGTGAGTTCCCTGATTGTATCCGTGGACGTTAAATCTAAAACATCCCCTGCAAGATAGATTCGTCTGTTTCACGAACGTTTCGAAAATACAGTTTCAAATTACCTAAATTGTTAGATAATGGCGATTCCACGGCATAAGCTACCGCAGCTGCGCGTGCAGCTGCAGTTGCTTCCTCCAAAGCCATTGTATTTTCTTTTTCACGCAAAAGTTGCAATTCTTCTCTCTCCTTCCGCCATAGTTCCACTTCTCTTCTCAGCTCCTCTTTCAGATTCCCCATGATTTTACGAAGCGACTCTATGCGATCCCGAAGAACGAAACTAACAATAATAAGATTTCACGTCTGCCTTGCATAAACATTAGATATTTTAAAAGTATTATTTGTTTGGGAGTTACGAACTAACTCTCTGTCCTCGTGATCATCCCAGGATGATTGAACACCCTCTAAAATCACCGAGTCCTCCGGTTGTTCGAGTACAGCCGAAAGCTTCTCCAATGATTCATTTTCAGAGACTGGATCACAACATACAGTTACATCTCGAAGATCTAACACTAAGCCAGAATTCGTGTTATCGTTTTCACGATGTTCTTCGTCCGATTGTTCGTTGTAGCGATTGTCGATGTTTTGAAAATTTTCGCTGTTGATCGAACAATTCGTGGAGGTTTCTGACGAAGTTGCACGTTCGTTCTCCATTTATAAAATTTGTCCTCTTCGTTGCCTTTTACTGTACGCATTTAAGGGAAACTATTTTCGGGCTATGACAAAATTGGGCTAATGGTTTTTACCATTTACGGATCTGACTGAAGTTGTTGCGATTTACATGTCTCATTTTGTAAGATGTGAAAATGATATTTCGTTGTTTTATTTGTATACTTAGTGGTGACTATATAGAGTGTCTTAACGCGACTAATGCAAAATGCAATATACAAGGAGTCGGTCTCCTTCAAATATTTAATCGTTCTGCGTACGCATTACAGTAGTTAACGTCCAACAAGTTATTCTATTCGCGTTTGTAAACAGTAAACTCAAGGTGAAGCAATAATTAGTTGTTAGTAGTTAGTTTGCTTTGCAGAAATACTGGAAATTTGTAATTTTTCATACGTTTTATTGATATTTGTACCACAGTTGCCTTTAATGTGCGGGCCGAAAAGTAAATTAATTAATTCGGTCCAAAACAGGTATGTGTGCTATATTAAATATTTTGGTACAGGATGACGGTAGTGAGTGACCTCTTCTACCGTCAGTATTGCGTTAATTTAGCAGGTTAATATTGATCTCGGTCCGCTGAGAGCGAATGTTTGAGGAAATCGATGATTTCCCCGTAGCGTACATAGAAACCGTGAGCTTGTCGCTCATGTAAAAGCTCCGCGGACAAAGTTGTTTTTCATTCAACATAGTCAACGTTTCTGTCATGTATATCTGTTACTATGGCACAGGTTATGTGCGTTGCCCTCCGACCTTAACGGTGAACAACCAGAAACCGTTGTACTTGTAAAAATACGCGTTTAAGTATCAATTTTCGTTGTTCGAGAATTTAATTTTCTCGAAACAGTGAAGCTATACGCTTTCAGTATGATGGCAGAATGAGGTTAATCGTACCTTGCATTTAACATATGCAAATTTTCCTTGTATCAAGTTGTTTAATTAATAGAAAGCATGCTCATGTATTTTTGGTCACTAGTGTGCTGGTATTTCAGACCCATTATAAAATGGTTGTTGCATCAAACTACTAAAATGTGTGAACTTCAAAGGATTTGTTATGGAAAACCATCTGGAGCAGAAAGAACTCTAGCTGTGGAGGAATCTCTTAAGCTATCCAGAAATCCAAATATTAAAACTCTTGTGGCACACTTGAATGATTTAGCTGATCACCATGAAATTACTCCTAAAGCAGAACCTATAATCTTAGAAGAAGCTATTATAACAGTGTTGGTGACTAAGAAAATAAATCCAATAGCAAATCCCGATTTTGCTAACTCATTTGGCAAATGTGTAGAATTAATTTGGGGTTACAGACAACTGTGCATGGAATGTGAAGAGCTTAGAAAAACGCCTTATGATGCAGAGAATCCAGAGCATGAACTATTGTTGTTACATTTGTGGAATTCTTTAATGCCTTATGAGCCACTAGATGCTAGAGTTACAAAACAATGGCAAGAAATTGGTTTTCAAGGAGATGATCCAAAAACAGATTTTCGTGGAATGGGAATTCTTGGATTAGAGAATTTGGTTTATTTTTCCCAAGAATATCCCACTGCAGCAACACATGTATTATCACATTCCACTCATCCACGTTATGGATATGCATTTGCTATAGTTGGTATAAATTTAACAAGCATGGCTCTACGATTGTTGAAAGATGGAGCTGCCAAGACTCATATTTATAATTCTTCAAGAACCTTGCCAACAATTCGTGCCTTTCATCAATTTTATTGTTATCTCTTTTACAAATTTGATAGGTTTTGGATAGATTCAAAACCAAGCAATATGATGGAATTTTCATCTATACAAACAAAATTTGAAAACAGTATCAGACTGGCATTAACCGACCCATCTACAGTTTTCAGGATAAATATATCAGTTGATAATGTCTAAAACAGATGCAATATATTCTGTTGATAAAACCAAAAATATCACACAGAGAATAAATGTAATTTTAAACTTATAATGCACAAAACTAATTTCTGTAATATATGTTGCACTGAATGTCTTGTGAATGAATATAGCAACATTATTGTGAACTGTGGAGAATGTTGCAGAATAATACAAGGGGCCTGATGTATTTCATATTATATTTTTACTTTATTTTTCTACCAGCTTATCAATAAAAGTGATAAAAGTGGTGCATGTGATAGCTAATTAATATGGATGCATAGACATTCAGATATATTCCTTTCTCTAATATGGATAAGTTACAGTACATCTTACATTCAAATAAACGTATCATTTTTCATTTGTGTTTAATTATCAAATATGCGAATCTAGATGCGAAGTATAGTGGTGGCCGGTTATACTATTTGGTGACCGAACATCGTGCAATTTTCAGAAACCCATTTCTTCGAATATACGACCAGTCACGGCCCCGATTGTTGGTCATATATCCGAACACCATTGTACTTTATTGTATTACCTTTGTAAGCCAATTTTTTTAGAGGAAAATGTATATAACTGGGAAATATTTTGACACTTCTTGTGTAACAGCAATACTCTTTATTCAAAACTATTTATTGTAAAACATAGAAAACATTTCTGTTAAAAAATTAGTCTTGTAAACATCGTACATATTAGGTTATATGGAATAAGAAATACAATATCTGGGAATATAATGTACATTAAGTTCATCTTGCTTCAGCGTATATATTATGGGTACTGAACGCGCGTATCAAACAATGAAAATGTATTGCTCTTAATAACACGCGAAATTACAAAACTTTGTAAAAAACAGAACTTTATTTGTATGATTTTTATGCTTTTATACAATGTTCTGTACATGAGTAGCACAGTACCCATAACACACTTCTTTGGTGCACAACATAGTTAGTCTTTCTTCTGAGATGTCTGAATTTTACGCCTGAATCTAGAAGCTACAGAAATTATAATAAACACACCAATGGTTATACTGCCAAGTTTCAAAACCCATGGTTTTTCATGGAGGAAATTTGCAATCATTTGTACCAAATCGTCGCTGAAAGGGCAATTATATTTGTACAATACAACATTGAGGTATACCATTTAAAACAAACATTTTAAGGCTAATAAAAAATGTGTTCACACTTACAATGGGCTTTGTGGCACTGGGACAGTTTCAGCACGTGCATTTTTATACCAATCTTTTGCAAACCACACAAATGCGTTAATGTCGTATCTCGGTATCTGATAACGATACATTTTACCGTGTCTGAAGCTTCAAGTACAAAATAAATCATATTAAATAATAGAACTCTGTACTTTTGTTTATTTATTGATTAAATTGTATATTTACTCACAATATGAATTCTGGTGCTTCATAAACGTTAAATCTTCTAGCTGTAGATGCGCCAGTTGTATATTTATTAATACTAGCTACATTAACTTTTTGTTTAAGTTTTGCACCTACAGCCTCCCATCTTGCAATCATTCTAACACACTCCACGCAATCTGTACTGTAACTATTTCCGCCAAAATTTATATAAAATGAAATATATCATTTATACAGATACTGAACACGTTCGCCGCCAGTATATGAATTGTTGACGAATGTCGCGTACCAATACCTCCGATCGGAGTCGCCGGTAGCGAACGTGTTAACAGTCGTTAAACGTTTTTGGTTTTTCAATTTAAAACCATCTTTAGAATTTTATAGAAATATTTAATTTGAAAGTGGAGCAAAAATTACATATAAGTAAAATATACTTACAACATAACAAACCAATCTCCTGTAGTAGCTCCACTGCTTGCCTGAGTTAGATGTTCAAAAGTGTCATCTGTTAATTCTTTCACTGTAGGCTCTTTATTTTCAGTAAACATCATTAGGATCTCCTCTTCATTTAATGACCCTGTAACAAGAATCAAATTTATGTTCATGGTTAAACAAAACTAACTTCTATTACATACCATCACAGAGTAAAGGTATTCCATGTCTAAAGAACACAAGTGCTGGTTCCTTATCCGTGCTATATAGTCTAAGCAGTTGACTGTCGACAACTCTGACAACCCAGGCAGACAAAGAGTCAACTAGGTCTTCGCGTAAGAGGATCACCTTGTTTTCAAAGTTGTTGCATCTCTCGCAATCTCTGCTTGCTGTATTTCATATGTTGTAATTAGTAGACTGTCTAATGTTTCAATGTATATAATGAATTCAAATATCCATGATGAGTACAAACTTTAGAGCCAGCAAATTATGCTAAGATATTTAAGGATACGTGAAGTTGTAAAGCAAGAAACATTTCCAGAGAAAAGATGAAGACTTACTGAAGAGCACGACTACATATTTTTCTGTTTTTATAAGATTTATCAAATCCTCGTCGCTCACTGTTTCAAGATTGGCGGATCGGACACCAACGAAGGTACATACCACCAGGAAAAATATTAATCGTAACATTTCGAGTTGTTTTCAGTCAACAATATTGTACAGAATATTTTCATCGGCAAATGGTACACGTTAAACCGGTGACGTTTCTACACAGACGAGGTATACGAGTAGACTTTACACCTCACGGACTTTCGTGACCCAATCTGACTGCTATACCGACCTGAAAATTTCTTGTCCGCGTAACACGAAAAAATATTACTTCTAATGTCTATTATATACTTTATGCTTTTAATCAGTATGTTATCACAAACCAGGTATACGAGTAGACCTTTCACCCAATGTATTTTCTCGGCCCATTTTTCTGCCTCATTACCATTGTCGTGTCACAGATGAGGTATACCTCGTCTGTGGTGAAAGGTGTATTCATATACCTCATCTGTGGTCGTGTCACTCGCAACATTACCAACAGATTTAGAAATGAATTTCAATCCCTTCCCCATAGTCAACTCAGTTGAAAAGTACGAATTATTCGCGATTCCTTGACTAGTTAAAGTTGTAAATAATTCGCTAAAAATCAGTCTAAGCTTCGCGAGATATCGGAGCTTCCCCCACCCCGCCGCCTAATTCGCGAGCATTACCGAGCACTGCGAGCGGCCATCATTCATACTTTGACGTCAAGACGTACCGGTGTTCCGCGACCGCGGTGCGTATTTCTAACCTGTTGATTTTTCCACTATTACTACTCGCGTTTTAATTACGATCTCTTGCAATACGGTTTCGATTCAATCATTACTTAATTATAATAATCGTTTGTGTACTTTAATGCATCGTTATTTCGTTTCTGTTACAGTCTCTTATTGGAATTCGAAATTAAGAAATAATAAGACTTGTTGGAACCTGTCAAGACGTGTCGGCGTTTTACGACCAACGGGGTACATACGTGTTTCTAACCTTTTAATATTTCTTCATTATTATCAATTATTTTTTAATTATGATTTAATTTGTATTTCATTTCTGTTGCAGTTTCTGATTGAAATTCGACGCCATGAAAAGTTTCATTGGCGCGTAAAGGACGCCATAACAGATGGCAGACCAGTCGACAAATTTTGAAGAGAATATTGGTAACATTATTGGTAACGTTTAAACAATTATAACAAAAATTAACATTCATATTAATATTTATTCATTTTTATCGCTTTATAACATTATTTGTTGCAAGTATGATATTAATTTTGTAGTCGGTCATTGTTAAGATAAAATATTAAAATCATTAACAAACTTTTTATCTACTTCGATATATATCAATGGCGTCGGTAGATATTAACGATAGATTGAAATAGTTTATATTAGACTGTATTCTGATCGCGATTAAATATTTCCGACTGTTATTTATTTAATTGATTGTTTATACTTCTTTATGAATTGTTGTAATTGCAATTTGCATATATATTTCGATGCAAGTTTAAGAAAATGTAGTAATTGCGGAGTTGGAATATGCTATTCGAGCACAAATAACCAACAAACTTTAATTTTTGCAAATTTCGGAATATTTATAAAAATTATCGGATATTCTAACGTTCGATAAATTAAACATAATCATGCTTACAACTCTAACTATGAAATTTAGTGATATAATATTTATAAATTGAATAATTATTTGTACGTAATTATTTTCGTAGATAATATTTTATCGTTGAAATTCTCATTGATTGAGAATATTTCGCCTTCGTGGCATTGATCTTGTACGGGACAAACTATGTATACAATAATACTAAGTAAAGCAGTATTTCTGTTGACGAACTCTTGTAAGAAGATGAAAAAGGAAAACCAGTAGGCTAAGCACAGGTGTGCTTGTTGTGTTTCTTGTCTCCTGTCCCTTTCTTTTCAGCTCTTTTCTTTCCAGGAAATTTGTTGGCCGCGCGCAATGCGGCCGGTAGATTCAGTGATTGTGCGTAGCAACAAGTTTGTTTTTCGGGGCAAAGTGACCCCAAGCTCGTTATCGTTCACGGTGTTAGACAAACGCGAGAATAGAAGCAGTGTTTCTTACGCAGTATTAAATTATTTCCAGAGCATCGTGGCTCTTCCTGTTTTCTGAATAGCGATAATAGAATCATTTGTTCGCCGATTTCAATCTTCGGCCGCGGTAATCTAATTTAATACTTTCCAATCAAAATAATTATTTTTTCAATTTGAAATTTAAACTCCTCGTTGCCGGAATTAGAGTCAGTGCATCACCGAAGAGGACTATTGGGCGATGCTCCACGAGCAAACAATGTAAGTATAAATTTATACTTTGAAATTTTTAATTAAAAATCTCTACAGTTTTGACAATAGATTCTAATTGTTTTCTTACAGTTTTCTTACAGTTTCTGAACATGATCCTGGGAACCAGCAGCAGTACCCGGGGGGTATCGGGCGGTGGACCACGAGCGAACAACGTAAGTATAAATTTATACTTTGAAATTTGTTAATTAAATATCTCTATAATTTTAACAATAGATTATAATTGCTTTCTTATTCTTTATAGCAGGACCATGCAGGGGGCTTTGATGACTTCCACCGGGCAGCAGCAGCATCATTATGCAGTCATTCCAGAGGCACAAGTTCATCATTGGTGAGTCGCATGCTATTTGTGTTCCTCTGGTCCCCAACCATGTTGTAGGATGAAAGATCCGAATCAACACGGGTGACCAGTTGTATACTTGGTATTTTTGACGAGTTAAGTGACCGCGGGTATGAAAAATACCCATGAGTTATATTTTTTTAGTGCAGGCTAGAGTCTTCTTGCACTCGCGTTTTTTAATGTTATCAATAAATATTACTCAATATGATTATTACACAATTTTGATCAAATATATGAAATATGTTTATTAACTTTATATGAATTATATAATTGAGTAGAATATGAATTAATATAATGTGAAAACATTATATTAATTGTATGATTGAGTAAAATATCTTACATCATTAATATAATTATTAAATATTCGTTTTATCAATTAATACATCATATGATGTATTTTATGTGCAAGAAGGCGTTTCGCGACTGGTCGATTTTCAACTCAAAGGAACATGCATGTTAATTTTATTTTTTTTTAAATTTACTTTGACGACAGAATCGACCAAGGTTAATTGAATATTTTGAATAATAATTTAACAAATTTATTTCAATTTGCAAAGTAAATTATTTTATTACGAAATCTTTATCAAAGTCTTACATTTTACACAATTAAATTTCAGTTAGAAATTTTTCTTGAATAATAATATCTTTCAATATTAATGTAGTCTGTTGTTGATATATTACATAGAACAAGTCGAGTCATTTTTACTGAGAATAGATACCGTTTAGTTAATTATTAATAACCAGTTGTTCTAGTCAGGATTTTCAGGATACTTTTCCGTGTTCGTTGCCTAAGTTCGTGCACATGCCCAAGTGTTATTTGCACGAGCGAAGGCAACGGGGCACGATGACTTAGTTTGTAACATTTATAATAATAATTTATCCGTCCGACTGACAATGCTAGTGTCTCGTGCACGATGTACTGTCCACATATGTGTGTTTGTGGTTAGGTTGTGGAAGTGCATCGTATCAAAAGTTCATTACAATTCAGATACAGAATTCTTTAACATTAGATTCATAACAATCGTAATAATAATATTAAACTTATAGTTATTATATACTTGGCAATTGTTCGTATTGCATACGCGTCAGTAATATTGTAAAATGCATAATGAATTAGCTTTTCAATCTTATATAATCATATATAGAGTATATTTTAATAAAGACTATATTAGATATATTAAAATGTTTTACGTAAATAATAAAAGTACGCAATGGGCACTAGCTTTGTCAGTCCACTGCAAAAACTGGTACGTACACAATTAGAGTATGAATGAGGTTGTGTCCGGGTGTCGGAGGAACCCCGGGGAGTCCTCTCTAGTTTAGGTCGCGCCCGGACATTGAGAATGAGAACCGTGGAGTGTTTGTTTGAGAGACTGAGTTTTGCATTTTTTTAAATATAGGGTTAGGTAGGTAGGTAACTTATTCTCTGGTGTGTGTGTTTAAACCTAAGTAGGTAGGGTCAGGGCAGGACTGTCCACATTAGTAATTCGGGTAGGCGCGTTTTCGCGTGGCAGTTCTGTTCCTGTAGTTACGATTTCGAGAGTAGAAATCTTGCTGATTCAAACGGTGCACTTGTGCTGTTTGTTTCGGCTTTATTTTCGACTCCTCGAATCGCGCGACTCTTAAAGTCGCTCTCTCGCGCTCGCGGTCGTGATTAGGTCCCTTTCGAAACGTTCGTCCCCCTCGAGATTCACCACGTATGCTCTTGCAACAATTCGTATATTGTTGGAAGACTACGTATTGCACAAAATCTCGAGCCCGGTCTTAAGTAAGTTTCAGGCATCGGCAGGACCGCCGAAGAAAGAAAAGGCTCTCAATGAGCTGAAGAGGCCCTGACAAACTGTCTCAAGAGTGGGCTGCAACAAATGGCTTTTCATCTTCATCCTCGGATGAGAATGGAAAGTCATTCCTGTTACTATTTTGTCACTTAACTCGTCTGTAGTTGTAGTTAGTTTATTTTTCTGGCTGGCTCACGTATGCATGTACCTGATGGTACATGATTGCACCATACATGCCAACCATCCCTCCCCATAACTCGCGGTTATGATATACATAGAGTTGCGAATATCCAATAATCGCGTTTGCTTTTAGAGTTGCGAATTGTTATTTTTCGCGTTTCCTTTTCAGGGTAGTGTTGCGAATAATTACCATTCGCGATTCTTTTCGTGCAAACTTAGGTACCGGGAGTTTGCTTTAAAAGTAGCGTTGCGAATTATTGATAAACGCGATTGCTCGTAGAGTTGCGAATTACCATTTTTCGCGTTTCCTTTTCAGGGTAGTGTTGCGAATAATCACGATTCGCGTTGCTTTTTTACTCTTTTTATACATATAATGGACATCAACCGCGTTTGCAATTTTCATACTATAAATTAGCGTTGCGATCTTGATTAATCGTGCGATTCTTTTTTTAGAGTTGCGATATTTTCAATGCCAAAATTCTACCCTAACTGTAGTAATAGAAGTAGTTAGTTTATTCAGTGGCCAGTACATGTGCATTTACATGTACTATTAACCCCTGATTAAAATTAGAGTTGCGAATAATATACAATGTTCGAGTTTGCTCGTAGAGTTGCGAACAAATATTTATCGCGTTGATATATCAGTGTTGCGAATAAATACGATTCGCGATTGTCTTTATGCAAACCTAGGAGCCGGGCGTTTGCTTTAAAAATAGCGTTTCGAATTATTAGTAAACGCGATTGCTGTTAGAGTAGCGAATTACTATTTTTCGCGTTTGCTTTT